CACTCTAGAGAGTACTGTGAGTAGGCATAGTTTTAGTAAATGAAGTAATGGTCACATTTTTCATTTTGGTCCTTTAGGACAAACAGAGAGGAAACATATTTCCAGAAATGAAATGTACCATTAATCTACTATATTAATTTATATGAATTTGGAACTGATTTTCTAAACAAGAGCACCCAAAATGACATGCATAACAATTAACCATAACAGAGTTTAGACACAAAGTTTTTGTTAACTAGCAATATTAATAAAATTAAAAATCATCAATACTGGTATACCATATATGGACAATATATTTCTTAGTTTTAGACAATATGAAAAATTCCTGTCATAAAATCATCGACCAAAATGATCACATTTTTCCATATTATGAGTGAAAAGCACTGATTCAGTGTATCATTTCCCAACAGGTAGAGAGACTTTTTGTGATCTCTTGTTGTTGTTGTTTTGGCAACAACAACAACAACAACAACAACAACAACAACAACAACTATAACCATGTTAGCACGATATGTGCTTTGCTGGTAGACTGTAGCAGCAGGTTGTAGTTCCACCATGAAACAGAAGTTGAAGTGTTATTATAAATATGGAAAAATATATATTTAAAACAGTATTATTATCATCATTGGGGCAGCATTTCATTTAAACCAGTAACCCATCCCTTCTATAGACAACATCTATCTGCCTAGGTGTGAGTTTACTGATTGAGAGCATAATACAATTACTCTGGTGCTTCAGTGTAACTATAGTCTTGTAGGTTTGTGGTTATAGTTGGTTCTTGTTTTTGAAGGCATCAGATGCTGCATTACCAAAAATGCAGCAACTGTATTAAATCTTTTACATATTACTGTAAGGCAGTATGTCTCTGTATGGTTGTACTGCACAGGAAAAAGGCTGTTTAACAATTTGTATCTGTGTATCTATGAGATCTCTTGATAAATTTCTGGTTTAGCTCCATAAAACTGAATGTTTAATGTCTTTAGTGACTCACTCTGTCTATTGTACCAGAAAAGAAAAGAAATGACAGTCACCTTTATTACATCATTTCTGCACACTTGAACTTCAGGTCAGCTTCAGTCTCAGTAGCCTCCGTTAATTAGTACTTTAGTTAATTAGTAGTCAAAGAAGCCCACAACCAGACCTCTGACCCTACAAGACGTCATATGATTACCAGGCTCCATATCTCTCTAACAGAGCGTGCTATTGTTGAGAGAGAAAGAGAAAGATGGACATTTTCTATGGAATCGATTCCACAAATGCTCCATTGCATGCCTAACATTCCGAGGAGAGTTTATGTAGGCCGGCAGAGGCGTCATTATGCAACAGGCAGATGTTTTATTGGAAAGAGAGAGAGAGAGAGAGAGCGCGAGAGAGAGAGAGCGAGAGAGAGCAATGAAAGAGTGACTACAGCATAGGAGCACTAGAGAGTTGGAGGCACAAACAGAAACCTCATTTTAATGGCAGCACTCCCACTTTCTCTCTGTCTCTGTCCCGCTTTCTCTTTCCATCTCTCTCTTTCTTTCTCTCCTATCTGCCATAAGGACTAGCTATAAAGGTCCAGAGCAGGCTATAGGGCTGTAGAGACCTCATAATGAAGACTTTGTGGGTTAAGGGCTGCATAGGGGACAATGACATCATCCTCCGGAGAAATCTGCCCTGCGTATGTGAATCTCATTTGGAGAGGACTCAGTACTGTTGGCTGTGCTCTGGATCAAGTAACACTGCATCTGGAGTCATGGGGAAAAAAGCTTTATCCACTCAATTATACAAGTTGCACTACCAACTAACCCCTTATAACTAGCTTTTCAGTTTAAAGTCTATTTGTATGTTTTATTGTAGTCCCACAGTAACAAATATATATATTTAGACACAAGATATTTACAAGGATTATGTTATGATCTCTTTAAACCCAATACATTAATTGAAAGCTTAAACATGCAAATATATGTCTATAAAATCATCATTTATGGGGTACTTTTTATGGGGATCTTGCTGTCCCAAATCCTAATCTCTAAATTTCAACTTTGGAAAATAATATTTGCAATTTCTTTTTGTATATTTTAATGTTGTTTTTAAAATATCTCTTTGATTTCTTTTCAAGTTAAAAAAATAGATTTTAGATCTAAATTTAGATTCATAATGACTTTGAGAGCTTAAATCAAAAAACATTTTTTAATGCTTTTAAAATGCCCATGTTTTCTAGTCATTACTGAAAACACAGAGTTTTGGGCTGTAAGTGGAGTCTTATTTTAGCCACACCCATGCATTTTAGAACAGAGAAGGAGACTGCATCCCTGTCCCTCATGATCACACGATGAGCAGTTAGATCTCATTCTTTTGAAGTAAATCTGTCACTGAAACACACATTCTTTGCAATGAAGTGAACTTTTTTTTTGTGTTTTAGTGGAAACTATTATGGTTTTGTGTGTGTACAAAAAACAAAAATGAATTTTGCATAGGTATTCAACTCCTGTGCTGAGGAACCTCTAAGTTTACACAGATGAAATATATTGCCATAATGAGGACACAGTTGGCCTACAATTGCCCTCTACCTGTTAATCATTAGATGAGTTAATCTAGTCTGGATAAAAGACCACCTTAATTCCATTGATCAGACTGGGAATCTGAAGGAAAGCTGTGAAAATTAAGACTAAAGAGCATTCTAAGGCAAGTTCTGTACATGCGGAATATAGGAAGAGGCTACAAAATAATTTCCAACTGTTTAGATATCCCAGTGAGCACTGTTGGATCAATAGTGAGGAAATGGAAACTGCATCACATCACCAAAGCACTGCCTAGACAAGGCTGTCCCTCAAAACTCAGCATCAGAGAAAAGAAGAGGACTTGTGAGGGAAGCCACAGAGAGTACAGGAATCACTTTGAAGGAGCTACAGAGTTCAGCGGCTGGAGCTGGAGTAAAGGTGCCCCAGTTAACGATATCAAGAGCTTGGCTTACAACTGGTTTGTATGGGAGAATGGCTAGAAAAAGCCATTACTGAAGAAAAAAACTCTTTAAATCACTTCTTAAGTTTTTCAGAAAACATCAGAGTAAAGCTAAAATATGGGATAAGCTTTTATGGTCAGATGAAAACAATATATGTGGTGTAAACCTTACACTGCCCATTCCTCCATATACACCATCCCAGCAGTGAAGTACGGGGATGACAGTATCATGTTGTGGGGATGCTTTTCCACAGTGGGAACAGGGCACGTTGTTAAAACCGTGGGTCAGATAAATGATGCAAAATACAGGGAGATACTGCAAGATAACCTGCTTCAGTCTAAAACTAAAGCTTGGGAGGCCAACGCAACATAGGAGTGGCTAAACAACAGAAAGGTGAATGTTCAACAATGGCCAAGCCCAATCTAATCAAGAATCTGTAACACTATTTTAAAATTGCAGTCCTCAAGCATTGTCCAGTCAACCTGAACAAGCAGCAGATCTCCCAGGAATAATGGGTGAAAATGACTCCCCAATATTGTGCAAAGGTAGCAGAAACTTACTCCAACAAACCTAAAGCTTCAGTAAAAGATTGTTCTACCAAGTACTAGTCTGAAAGGCTTAAAAGCAGCATTTTCAGTTGTTTTGTCTTGTTTTAAGATCTGCTGACAAATAATGAAATCTGACTTTGACAAATTGCTTTAACCCCTCAAATGGCCAGGGTCCACTGACATGCCAAGAGTTTTATTATACAATTCTATAACCTAAGAGCAGCTTCATCCGTTTGCATTGAAGTCCCTGTAGTTACTGAATAATCAGTCTTAGTATGTAATAAGCCTGGGATTTTAAGGGGTTACGATAATATAGTTTTGCAGTGAAAAATACAGACTGGAATATCTGTGTCATTGTAATCCAGCTGAATTATCTCATAATATGTTCTAAATACATATGTTATAAAAGACTACACTTTATCAAGCATCAACCACAACCACCTTACTGATGAGGCTCATTCCAAATGTCACTGAGTGTGTTTTACATTCAGTAGCAGATGTGCTAAAACATCAAATCAGGAGGTAAATAGTTTAAACATGCAAACTTTTGAGCAGTGAAAATGGTGATACATTCAGAAGCCAATACCCTATAAGAGGATTCGAAGGTTTAGTCAACCAAGATAAAATTTGTGATTTTAATATGAAAATTAAGCATTTTAGCACACTCTGAGAATAAAATACTTGCTATAGAAGTAACTGCTATAGAATTATTCAATTCACTGAGTTCAGAACAGATACAAACACATCATGTAAAATTCTGATTTGCCTTTGTCTAAATTTCTTTTTTGTGCTGGTTCTAATAATTCCTGTACATTCTCTACAGAGTCACAGAGTACGTCATTTGGAAGACTTTATCTGCATCTCTACACTATTAGAAAAATAACTAATTTTCAAGGGTTCTGCAGTAAAGGCAACAGTTATATTTCAAACCATGTCAACTCAAGGAACCATTTGAATGATTAAATGGTTCTTTGCCAGGTTAAATGGTTCATCACTAGTCATCCTCTATGATAAAGACACTGTTATGTATGAGTCTTCAAAGAATCTTCATAAAATCGTTCTAAAAAGCACCAAAATGAGTTAATTTTTTTGATAATATATAGAACACTTTTTGGTAATAGTGGAAAATCAGAAGTAATTTTTATTGTACAATCTTTAAAGAACATTCTTGAATTTGAACAGAATTTAACAGAACTTTAGTGATTGTAAAATGGCTCGGCTTGGATATACAGTTCAAGGGGGGAAAAAAGACATTATTTGGCTTAGAGCTTTTACACTATATTCACTCTCATGTCTTATTTACAAAAATAGTTATAGAGCCTTCCACTGATAAGGGAACCAGTATGGATTCTTCCATGGTATTGCTCCAAAGGCCCCATTTTGACACCTTGTTTTTAAAAATGAGGAGCCGAAAAACCTGAGCCTGAACCTGAGAAATTCAGGTCCATTTCTTCTCTGAACAAATAAAGAGTGTGGCATTAGCAGCAGCAGGTGTGCAGGTGACTCACCTGAACGGCCGGGTTGCTTGGCGACAGGCAGCGAGACTTCGCTAAGAGGAAGGACATAGACGTCAGGGCCGTTAGCGGAGGCTGGCGAGGCCAGAGTGGACATGTCCGCTTGATATTCATCACCCTCTGCATTCTCAAACTCCTAACATGACAGGGAACACAAAGGGCAATGGTCACAACCAGAAAACAGACAGCAGAGCGCTCAGAGGGGTGTTAAATTGTCATGAGTGTGCTTTGAAGGGCTGCATCATAGTGTGATTATTTGTTGCAGTATAACATTTTAACACGTAATATCTCATTATGACCTAGTTAGTAGCTTTTCTTGAACTTTGATGATTAATTGCATAGCTTTGCCTCAAATGTAGTATTGCAGTAATAACTGCACTTTAAACAGTGTTATTTGATGGTAGTCCATTCAGTGCTTGAGTATTTTGGTTAATCCTCATAGGCATACAGTGTAATCAGTAAGTAATTTGACAGTGACAGTTTTCTTTGGCTTTATACTTCTGCACACTGGATTTGAAACGGAAGAGTGATTATAAAGTTAAAGATCAGAATGACAGATATAAAGGGGAATTTTAATGAGTTTTCAATGGTTTTGCATAATTCAATAAATGAGATGTGACTGTCATACAGAGTGGTTTGATGTGAAACAGTTCATTGTAGAGAAACTTACCAATTTCTTTACTATGGTGGTGATAGGAACTGGAGTTGCAGTTGCAGTGTCTACATGTGAATATAGTCATTTTATTTATTTTTCTGAGTCTTCTGAGTTTTTATATATGTAATATCGGTGATGGGAAAATAGTGGAAAATTCTCAATTTTGATTCTCAAAAATTCTCTTTGGGCACTATTTTGCCTTTCAAAGTCCTACATGTATCTCTCCACCATTAATTAATAAATAAAATCTCAAAACTATCATTAAACAATGTCTTTAACATGAGGCAGTGTATTGGTTAATGTTTCATGCATTCACTTTGTCAGGTAGCTTTTAGAGCTATCTGTCATCCAGAGTGGTTTGATGTTAATGCTTCAGACATCTGGTTCCTATCACCACTGTACCACCAACAATTCTGACTCGACCAGTTTCTCTTAAATGGTGCATTTCACATGAAACCACTCTGACTGTTTAATGGTGTAAGAATTGGTGGAAATCTCATTCAAGGGTATTTACATCTATTTCCAGTGAATTAAATAAAATTGTGTTTAGCACTTGGTTGTAGCTCCTTTGCAGTTAATAACTACATGAAGTCTGCAATCTACAGACATCATCTGATGCTGGGTATCCTCCTTGATGTTCTTCTAGGCCTATACTGCAGTAATTCCCAGTTCCTGCTAGTTTCAGGGGCTTTTTGCCTTCAAAATGGTCTTTAGTAAGTGAAGCACATGCTCAATGGTGCTCGGCTTGGGTGACTTGCTTGGCAATTCGAGAACATTCCTGAAAAACTCCACGGTTGCTTTAGCAATCTGTTTCGGGTCACTGTCCTGCACTGTTCACTGAGTTTTGAGGAGTTTGATTTGAGAAGGTGCTCAGACAATTGAATCAGTTTCTCTGGGAGCCATACATGCCCATGTCACCGTGTTTCACACATGATGTGGTACATTTTGGATCAAGAGAATCCACAGGATTTCCTTCCTTCCTGGATCCCACTCGGTTAATCTTCATCTCACCTATCCATTTTTATGCACATTCTAGCAAATTGCAATCTAGCCTTTCTGTGGTTTGCACTCTGTGGTTACTATGTCCATCATTCTTAATCTGTTCACCTTTTTCTTCACCGTTTTAATAATCCACTACTGTGGTCTTTGTGTTAACTATTTCTAAGCTAACCAGTGTGTTGTTGATAATTGACAAATGCACCAAACAGTTTATTAATGCATCAGCTTTGTCAATTATTTCTTTATTCAGATTTTTCAGTGCTATGCTTTACTAGCATTGGATTGGTTCTTACGTTAAGAAACAATAGCAACAGCCTCCAAATGTGAATGCTACACGTAATGCTTCAAAGCATAGCTGGTCAAACAACAACTGTGTAGGCAACTAGCCAATTACTTTTGGGCTCCTAAAATGGGGGCCTAGGCGTACAAGGATGTGATTCCAGTACTGGTGAACATATCGGACTAAATACCCCAAAAATTAAAGCTGCTATTCTACACCTTTCACCCCATAGCTTTGAACTGAATGTGCTGCAGTAGAGCCAAAACACTATAATTAAATCACTGACCAATTACTTACTGAGTGCTCTGTAAATTTAACTTTGGAATGTAAATATAGACCAGTACATTTTGGAGTGATGATGATTGAGTGTGAATACTTTGATTAGACTGAATACAGAGTCACACTTTAAAACAAATAAACCTCCATTCAGACCTCATTAAAAGAGCAAGACACATTAATCAAGACAGAATATGACCCATGGCCCTCTGTCAACCGTCTTTAACTTTCATCCAACAAAGACACTCCCAGCACAGTGATACATTTTAAAATATACATTTTAAAATAACAATATAGTAACTTACAGGAGAATTATGATTTTTCAAAATTTCTGCATAATAAATTTGATAAAACGTCAACAAAGTCATTTAATGTGGTTTGACAAAATGTGCTGCTCTTGGGAAACGTACAGAGTCAGGATTGTTCATGGTGTTGGTGATAGGAACCAGACATCTGTACAGCTTAAATGGCTCTAAAAGCTCTCTGTTGCAGAACTTCTGGTTAAGTGTTTTTCAGTGGTTCTCTGAAATGCGTAGCACACACTTACATCCTGACCCTGTCATTGCGATCAGTGGATTCTCAACCTTAATGGCTGGCATGGTGGCAGCTAAAAAGGTTATTCTTTTGAATTGGAAATCAGCTTCTCCACCTTGTTTTAAACACTGGTTATCAGAGATGCTTCATATTATTACAATAGAGAGGTTGCGTAGCTGTGACTCAGGAGCACAGAGACATTTTAATTTAGTTTGAGGTCCATTCTTGGACCATCTAAAGTGACCCCCAATGCACTTTTTGTTTCCTTCCTCATTCTCTCTCATTCTCATTCTCTCTCTTCGTTCCCTCTTTTTTTTTTTTAAACAATTAATGGGTGTTTGGGCTATGGGGCGGGGGGTGGGTGGAGGGTTTGTGGGTTGGTGGGTTATGTGTTTTCTTTGCTGTTGTTTTGTTTTGTTTAAAGTTCCATCACAGAAGGCCTCACTATTATAAAAATTACATTATTACACTAAAATACAAAATATTATACAAAAAAATCTATTCATGAATAAGAGATACATGAAAGGTGTTGTAAGGCAAAAAAGTCACCAGATATTATCATCTATCACCACCATTCGTCAAATCACTGTTAATGCCTTTCTTTACATCCCAAAGACTGACTTATGCAGACATTTGGAAAAATTAGCAAAATCTTTTTTTAACAGAATATCATGCACTGATTATTGTTTTGTTGTCTTACTATTTAACGTACTTATTATTTAATGATTTTATTATTTAACTATTTAATTTAATATTTAAGACCAAATGGTTTGTTAAAAAAAGCTTTCACAGTGCAGCAGTGGCAGAGGAAGGGCAAAAAAAAAGGGACTTGGCAGGGATTGTAAATCGGAAATGCTTCTCCAGATGCTCTTAAAGAGCTGTCCACTGTTCACAGGACTGCTGGGATCTGGGGTCAAAAAGATGGAAAACAGTGACCTGGAGAGTTTTATACTTTTGAACACACACATACCCAGACACACAGTCCCCTCAGGGACTCCCTGGTCCTCGTCTTCACACGCCCCCGCGCTGTCTCCCATAATTCCCGGCTCATCCTCTCTCCTCAGCAGGGAGAAAGCTCTGCTCTCGAGATCTCTGAGATTACACTCTGCAGATTACAACTTGCTGCCCGCCAGCTACAGCATACAGAGCAGCAGAGTCAGTGTGGATGTGGCGCTGCTACAGAACTACAGGCTATCAAACAGTGCCAAAGCACTCAGTACAACTCAAAGAAGCTTTATTGGCGCTGGCTTTATTGGCACTCCCAAAGCACAAGAGCTTAAGCCAACAATTTATTATCAAACCATCTATTAATGAGACAGTCTACAAACAAGTAATCTGCACATGTTTAATCTTACTTTAAATCTTTGCCAAAACCCAGTAACTTATTTTTTAGGTGTTGGTATTAATTTTATTTACCTGACTACCCCAGTTTATACGTGTTGGGAACAATGATGGACCAATAGAAAAAGTCCAAAGTTACTTGGAATAAAAATCATTTTACATGAACATTGAAATTTTTAAAACATTTTAAAGTTTACAGTTTTAGCAATTTGAGGTTTTTGATATGCAATGAGACAATACAATCATTACATTAATGTATATTAATGTTAAGAATATTGTTTACAATTTAGATACAAAATCAACAATACAAATTACATTATATTATAAAATTGTTATATTAAAGTGACATTCTTATATGCATCAAGGTATAATGCCTTCTTATAATTAAACCTTAATTTTCTCTGATTTAGGAAGTTTAGCAAAGGTTTCTTTGTGAACTGAAATAATTGTCTCTCATTTGCTTGTATGTTTGTCTCATGTTTTACTTTACCCTTAATTACTCACTGTAAAATGTTGTAGGAAAATAAAGTCAGTATTGATGTTTTAATCCCTTGAACGTATTATATAGTTATAAATATTAAGCCTTGCTTTTCAGTAACTGCTATGAAACTAATGTAAGTTGAGTAATTATGAGCTTGAGCAACTAAAAAGTGGACCCACATACAGACTCTTAGAGTTTAGAGCGTTAACTCTTTTTCCATTCTGTTATTTTATCATTTTCTATTGGTATTAGATCATGCAAGGTATGAAATTGCTTTAAATGTTGACTTTTCAAAAAGAACAGAAAGAATTGAGTAATTTGAAGAAACTCACTGAATCAACTCTGTGTTGAATTTCTCGTAAAAGCAGCTTATAGTCTTACGACTGTGGAATTTCATAGGGAATGTTGTTTGTTGTTAAGAATCTAGAGGATGTTCTAACTCTTCTTCTAGCACAGATATAGTACTATTTTCTCACTTAGTAGAAAAAGGAAAGATAATAAATAAATGCTTTGCTGTAAATCTGTCCTCCATATGACAACAAAAGTAAATCACATTTATTTGAAAACTAGCACAGCTGACAGTCATAAGACGAATGTTGGAATCATGATGGGATGCAGGATAAAAGACAGAAGTTGAAAATAAAACACACAAATCAAAAATATGTTTAGCACAGCTATTTGTAATTCAGACACTACCATTAAAATGGCTTTTTATACTGTTTTTTTCCCCACTCAGCATAGCGATGCAGGATTCTTATGAACAATGCGTTCAATGTGTGCGCATATTTCAACAGGGATGGAAAGACATATGGTGCACAGAGTGAGAGAGATCCAGCTATGCTCATGCATGCAGACTGCTCCACTATTCTAACGTTTTTCAGCTTGGTTAGTCATGGCACATTTAAAGAAAATAATCTCTGCATCTTGGCACTGTATATTGAGCAAATCTATCACAAACTTCACCACAATTTGATTTATTTACAATTCTTTACAAACTATTTAAATGCACCATTAAGTCCCTCCCTTGATCTGGTTAGAATAAACAATTTAAAAGGGATTATTCAAGGGTTCTGTAGTCAAGGCAATGCTTATACAAAAGAACCAATCCAACTCAAAGAACCATTTGAATGGTTCTTTGCATAGCTTAGAGGTTAGTTATTCTCTATGATGGAGAGCCTCTTGTTTGTGGTTCCTTAAAGAAAATGGTTTCATGTTCCACTAAAGTTGGTTCTAGTATGATTACAAGTCAAGGAACCCCTTTTCAATATTATATATCGTCCTCTTTGCTAAGCGTCCTTAAAATGATTTAATGCGTTTTCACAAATGTCAACACATTCATTTTGGTAACGATTCTTTAAGATGTGATTCAAAAGCATAATGTGATCTCAGATTTCACCACGATTTGATGATTTGGGTACAATTCAGAAAATATATTTTTTAAAATACACTGAATACACAAAAGAGATCATAGGGATTATGAATTATGCATGAAATAGTGAAATATACACTATAACTTTTTTATATGGCATAATTTTTACATTTGAAAAAGCTAATTTTGGCCAAAGCATGCACACATACTTTACTAAATTTCTTATAATCGATTTTAGTCCAAAAATTGATGCAGTTGAATTGCTGCCTTCAAGTTGTGCATTCCAGTGAATTTCATAACCTCAAAATAGCATAAAAGTTCAGTTCATATCTTACCTTATCCCATTCCTGAAGCTCTGCTCAAATTAATTGACCTGCGCTGCTCATGGTATGTGAGTGGCATGGCCAAAACACCAGTAGCTGGTACCTCTGAGGGTACCTGTGTAATCTCCAGGCCAGTACGCCTGGTGCCCTCTGCTCCATAAGCCCTGACTGAAGTTTGCTGATTGGTAGCACATTCATGGAGCCAGCAGACAGAGCACATTAGATCACACGCTACAGAGAGATGCATGGTGCACCTCTAAAGAAGCAGACAGCATGCAGTGAATGGAATCGTCCCACTGACTTATAGGCAATGGAGGGAGCAGAGGGAAGGGAGGAGAGAGACTGAGGGCGGGAAAGAGAAAAAAGAACGACCGACAGACAGACAGACAGACTGACTGACTGACTGACTGACTGACTGAGAGATGGATGGCTGGATGGGTGGATGGAAGAAGGGAGGGGCAGTTTCCTGTTCTTGTCCAGAGAGAAAAGAGACAGCAGCAGCTGAGAACACCACAGAGCCCCCTACAACGCCCACCCCACAAAAATGTAAGGCTGAAAAAAAGAGAGCGCGAAAGAGAGAAGGGGGGGGGGCAGCTTTTCACATTCTGTGCTTATGACATCACTTTTTTTCTTCCTTTCTCACTGACTTTTTCACATGTGCACAGCAGACCCCCCACAACCCCCCTCACACATACTTATGTTTGTTTTTATACGTTGTCAGGACACTGGCTCATACATATATGTAATTACGTATGTTACGCAAAAGTAAGTATCTGTATGTAATAATATTTAGTGGTGTTAAAGTTCAGGTGCATTAATAACCATACATTTTCACAACTCTGTTAACACATTGACCCTTCTTATCATTCGTAGTTCCACCCTAAAGCTCAGCTGCTTGCATGCTATATGATGATATGACTCTGACCCTGTTTCCTCTTGTTCAAAAGCAACAGCAAAGTGGAAAGATATATTTTCCCTCAAAACAAAATGTAATAGTTGGAATCACTTATACACAGAATATACACTGATCAGGTATAACATTATGACCACTTCCTTGTTTCTACGCTCACTGTCCATTTTATCAGCTCCACTTACTATATAGGTGCATTTCGTAGTTCTACAGTTACAGACTGTAGTCCATCTGTTTCTCTGCATACTTTGTTAGCCCCCTTTTACCCTGTTCTCCAGTGGTCAGGACCCTCATGAGAGTGAGAGTTTGGTTCAATTTACAATGAACTGAAAGTTTGCTTGTCAGCACAATAACTTACTATGTAATTAAATGTGTAACTATATAATTAGATTTGAATAATACACCAAAGTGAAACTTTGACTTATTATTCAGTTTTTGTTCTTAGAGCTTATTTTCCAGTAACTATGAATTTTTCCAGTAACTACTACTAAATAATGTTATTTTAAATATATTATGCTATGTTATCCAGTTATGTGAGTGAGGAATTAAGCTGGCCTTTTAAAGGGTTAACTATGACGGAGGAGTTAGTTCCTTTATCTCAGATTTACTAAAAAATACTGACAAAACAAAAAATGCTGGCTCGTCTCAGCACAATTACAGTTGCTACAAAAATAATTAGTCATTCATTCATACGAACATCCACGAAATGGCATCCAGCATGACTCAGTGTTTACAAGAACATTCTAAAGCTGCAGAACGACATGGGAACAGCTCTCTGAATTAGTGGGCTGAATGAATCTAATGACCTGATATTGGATATTAGGTGCAGACACAATCACTGCAGCACTGAAAGAGGGAGGAATGGAGTGTTTTCAGCTGGGGATGTCTGAGCTCTGAGCTCGAGCTCCACTGAGAGACACGACAAGAGTTTACAAAAGGCCAAGGACTCTCTCTGCCTCTCTCTCTCTCTTCCTCCCTCTCCTTTTTCTCTCTCTTTCTTCATCTATCTATCTATCTATCTATCTATCTATCTATCTATCTATCTATCTGTCTGTCTGTCTGTCTGTCTGTCTGTCTGTCTGTCTGTCTGTCTGTCTGTCCTGCCAATAGATATCTCCCTCACTTTCACCTCCCCCCCCTTTCTTTGTGTTTCTCCCACCCCATTTTCTCTGGTGTCTTGACCCATTTTGTGTTGCTGTTGAGAAATGCAGTGAGTGCACCTAAAACTGCAAGCATGTGTCCATCAGAAAACTTCTACACCACATTTGCTTCATCATACACAAATTCATCATCCATCAGTAGTTTACAGCCACAGATTATGTGTTACATGGCTTTTCAGTGCACAGTAACCATTAGAGTAATTTAGATTGAAGCAACACTACATGTCAAATGTTTGGGGACACTTGCATTCTTTTGAAATTTTCTAGTTACTGTTTGCTTTTCTCTGCTACTTTTTCAATTAAGAAAAAAAAACAAAAAAAAAACACTGCAAAAGGTTTTGTGCTTTGGGCATATTTTGCTTCAACATGCAGATACATATTCCTCAAAAGTTTTGCCTAAATAATGACTTTTCCAAGGTAACACTTTTTTTTTTTTTTATTGAGTTTCATTTTTCAAAAAGGCAACAGAAGCTTTCTGTTTAATATTTTAAATAATTGAAAAACAAGAAAAGCACGGCCATTAATTAAAATCATCTGAAAAGTGGTGGCCCATAATATTATAAGCACTTTTGATGTGGAGGACAGTTATCTGACCTTAAATCCAATCTCGCCCTTCTTGCAGCACAGGCAGGCCAGCATGAGGAAGATGAAGGTGAAGAGGCCAGAGAAAGACACAGCCACCACTGCTAGAGAGGACGACCAGGAGAGCTCACTCAGAGGGGCGCCATCTGTGGGAGAGAAGCAGTATTACACAAAAATGCTCCAATTCCAGTGTCAGTCCTAAAAAAAAAAAAAAAAAAAGAACTACAGTAATACAATATGAAACTATTATAAAGTGCTATGTAATGTTTCTATAAGAATCTTATCACCTCCATATAAGATTCCTGTATAACTTGTAGTGATCTTATAATCGAACCACATCACTATTTAGACTATTGGTAATACACACTGTGCAATATATCATAATCTGCTACTGTAAATGACACTATCCATCCATCCATCCGTCCATCCATCCATGATTTTTTTTCGTAAGTGAATATTTTACTTAAAACACATTTGGAAAACGAGAACGTGAGGAAAATCACAGTCCTCTGCACAAAGCCTCTGCATGTCAGTAAAAAGCCCTTTTCAGACACAGAAGTCGAATATGGATGCATTGTAGAGGATGTAGCATGAGGTCCTCAAAAATACAGCAATAAAAGTATGTAAAATCATGTAAAATGTGCACAGAGACCTATTACACAGAACATCATACCATGCATGATGTGCCCTGCACCCTCTGCCTCATTCATCATTGGTCATTGGACCACTGTAGACCAGATTTCATTTGAGTGATGGACCAGTGGCACTGACAGTCACAAAATGACTTCTAATGAAGTAGGTTCATCAGTTTCAACCCTGAAAGGCTGGAGTCCAACACAGTGATTTCATTGATATACTGATGAGTTGAGACAGACATGTTTCAGTAGAAAAATCCCCAAACTATGCTGGACTCCTCCAGGACCAGAAATGATGACCACAGGGCAGAGGATGGCTAACACAAATTCTGCTACAGCAGGAGTTTCCATAGTCTGTCCTGTGGGCCTCATACTCTGCACATTTTGTGATTTCAGTCATCTAAAACAGCTCATTAAGCCCCCTGTGTGCTGGGTCAGGTGTGTTCAAGATGGGAAAACAAAAATGTGCAGAGCACAGAGTCCTCAGGACCGCCTGTAGAAACCACTGGACTATAACTTCACATCAGGGGTTTCTAATAAAATGGCCAGTGAGTGTATAGCATCATTCCAAGCGTAAAAGTTCAACGTGCTTAGCAATTCTAAAATTCTAGAAACAGTGAAAAAAAAATCAATACAATGTTGATATTGCTGAATAATAATTCACTGAAAATAACTTACACACAAAACGTCCATGTTTGTAAATGAGCCAAAAAAAAACTAGGAAAAAGCCAAACAGTAAAAGGTGTTTTTAAATGTTTTTTAAACAATGGAATTGAGTCTGATTTACTACATAAAGCTTAGACACAATCGAAGCAACAGCTCCATCAGAAAAAAGTGCTACTTTTACATCCTGATAGCTGATAGCTGTGTAAGAGTGACACAGGATAAAAAATAAATAAATAAATAAAATAAAAAAAACACACAACACCTGAGCACTTTAGCCCTGCATTGCAGCATTCTAACATAAAGCATTTTAGTACTTAACATAACAGTTTAGCATTTGAGCATAATGGTTAAAATATTCTATGAACAGCACAACACTTTTAGCAACCTGCCACATTAATACTGAATTCAGGTGATGAGCATAGTCATCTGTGCATAGAATATTCTAGAGTGGCTTCAGCCAATCAGATTTATGAATACAGGTATCAATTTGCAAAGGAAAATTTGCTGCACTGTTATGATTTAAAAGAAGAACTGAAATCATCTGCTCCATGCACTACACAGCCATGCATTTTGTCAAGTGCTGAGACTCCCAGTGATATCTAGATGCTTTTTCTTTCACTTTACAATCTTTCTTTCCTGTTTTTATGTGTTCCACAGTAGTTTACCTGAAACTGCATTACAAAAATATTGGAGAGACCAGGCGATTAGAAAAAGGATGGACAGTTCTGCAGATAGCCGATAGCGAAACAACTCTCCCCTTAAAGGCAAAGCAGGACAGGTGACATGTACTTGCAATGCAACGGCGGGTGGGAGAAGGAGTGGGGGTTGGAGAGAGGTTAGACAGTTCCACCGATCGTGAAACAACTCTTTTAAAAGGTGCAAACGCCTGCCCTGCCTCACAGCGAGGTGGAAGCCAATGACATTGCAGCAACCTCCAAGACAAAATTTCCTTAACACTGTCAAAACAGTATGATAATCTTCTGTTTTAGGCTTCAATTTCTACAATTAGCCATTCAAATGAAAACAATGTCATTGTTTTTTCGGCAATTGTGACAGGCAGCATAACAAGTTCACTAGCACTAACTAGCATAATGTTGCTGTCAAAAGAAAAACATGTCCAAAATATTAACTTTACAGGAAAAGGCAAAAACATTCTTAACCCCATAAATGGCCAGGGCCCACCGGCAAGCCCAAAGTTTTTACACCCTTCTATATCCTAAGAACAGCTCAATTCATTTGCACTTAAGTCTCTATAGTTACATAATAATAAGACTTACTATATAATATGCCGGGGATTTTAAGGGGTTATGGTAAATATATTTTATTCTAAGTGATTTTGGAGCACTTTTATCGATCCATTCCTCATGAAATTTTCATAGAATGTAAAAGACAGCTTCTGCGCTCAAATGATGTAGAAAAATGAAAACTTACATTTATTTGTATGACATTTCAGTTGTGAGAATGAATTTTTTTAAAAAGTCAGTAAAAAAAAAAATAAAAAAATCACTGACAGACACCTATCTAATCTCTATCTAACCTTCCATCAAGTTATGACTTATCTGCTAATATAGATGAAATCTTGCCAAATAAATTACTGATGGACTGAGTGGTTTATAAGTAGGAGTAGCATGACCTAAAAGTAAAACTGAAACAGGGATTAATGCTCCTTATGGGGTATGGTTACAATATAATGTAGTTTTGTTTTCCCTTTTTTCATACATTGTAGCTGTTAGTATTATAACTTACATTTTTGTTCGTGTTACTTTGATTACATGTTTATGTCTCGGTTGTGTATGTTGCTTGGTAAAAGACCCAACATAACAAAACAGAAAACAATAGATTAACCAAGTGGATTAGGATTTCCTAACTTGAGATAAGATGCTGTAAGATAAAATATAATTCCTAAATTAAGACACAATTTGCTTCTATAATAAGAATTGGTGAAAAACTTATCTTGCCTTGTCAGATCTTAACTAAAGATTTGAGGTTTTTGCAATACGGCCCTAGGAAGTTTTTTTTCTGCCATTTTTTACGACACAGTACTTCTATTTATTTTCTTAAACTCCCAGAAAAGAGATACAAAATTGTTACTGGGTTGGTACACCTCTTCTTATTGGGGTGGTACCCTCAAGAGTATGCATTCAGTTAGGGCTCATAATTGTACCATAATCCATTGCAGTTACATTTATAAGTTGTATTAACTCCACATACCTTGTCTCGTCTTCAGGCTTTCAAATTTTACTTTGCACACATGTGGATCTTAAAACCACTGTTGTATCTTTGAGGGTATTGTTTGTACCTTAATGAATGAAAACTGCACCTACACAATACATTTTTTTCTGACAGTATAGAATTTGAATTCTAAGAAAATAAATAGAATGATTGAGATTTTTGGTTTTCTTTGAGTTAATATGTCCATTTGCACCCAAACAGGTGTTGAGTGTGGGTCTGTGTTACTTCATTAACATTTTGATTCTGATAGGCCTTTTCCATGGTAAGAACAGACTGGTAGAGGAATTTTAATATATTAAAAATTCTGCTTATTTCAGACAGTTTAGATTGTGAATAAGTCACTGGTAGTACAATCTGTCTTTTGAAACTGACAGCATCTGTGTTTCTACAGAGCCAGATACCTTTAGATATGCTTTTGTACAAATGTGTCTTAATAAATTAGTAAAGATTCATATCAGAGGCAACTGAAGGCAGATGTGATGTGACCAATAAGCTTTCCATGTACATATATTCACATGCTCTCTCCTTCGTATGCATGCCTGAGTAATGTGCATGGCACTAATAAGAAAAAGCAGCATGTGCTCATTTCAGCCAGTCCAGCCTTGTTACTGTCAACTTTAAGTGCTGAAAATATCTATGTACTGTGTTTCACTGGTTAAATAGCAAATCACTGCTGTCGGAACAAAACCTTATCTCCAAAATGGTAACTTTACAGCGGAAGAAAAAAAAACCTAGTTTTAATTGTAAGTCAGTGTAACCAGACATTTTTCCAAGTCATTTTGGGCTGTTTCTTTTAGGTCATTCATACAATGTAAAAGTAAACAGGTACTTTCAAATTGTGTCAAAAACTGAAAAAAATGGCAAAAATGGAGATACAAGGTTTTGTTCTGACAGCAGAGAAATATTAAACTAAAACTACCCCAGTGTTCTCATCATTTCCTCCTTCCACATGTACACCAATACACGTGCTGTGTGAAGTAATTAAAAGTGATAAGCAAGATCAGATGAGCTACATTATTAAACCATGGGAAAGGTTGCTCATTGTAGTGCAGGAAGAACATTCCACTGAAAGCCCTAAATATAGGCTGCAGCAGCACTAAGTGCCTCTCAACAAGTGAACCATGTCTGTTTTAATCCAGTCTAAAACATGAACTCTGTGTTGAGTTCAAAATATATAATACAGTATCTATACACAGGCATTTCAATTACTGTACACATACATACATTGTTGCTGTCATATTAAAACCTCATAACTCAATTTATTTGAAAACCCCAGTTGTCCTTTACATTGTCTGAACATTTCATGACAGACTCAGAGAATACAGCTATCTGGAGTTAAATGTACAATATATAGCAGCTTTTTAGCAGCTACATTCTAAAAATGTGAACTTACATGTCTGATCTGAATTATATTATTTGAATGGATATATAAACTAATTATCTGAAGCAGAACCACATAATCCACTGTATATGCTTGTATTCATGTCATCTGTTTTACTCTCAAGAAATTTGGGAAAATGATTCATATTCTGAAAGCTTTGCTATAATAAAAGCACTGCAAAGCCCTGACTCACCATCCGAGATCCACATCCATATTTATCCCACCAAATTTG